AAATGACAATATTTTGACAAAATATTTCGTAGAATTATTTTTCAAAATTCCATCTTTTCCTGCATGTATCACATAAGGGCATTTAGAGAACACTTTTTAAATATTTTTTTTTATAAAATCTATTAAAATGTGAACTTTTTGTGTCATTTTTGGTCAAAAACTAAAACAAATTTGATGAAAATATTTATTAAACTATTCTCCAAAATGTTTTTTTTCCACCATGTTCCGCATTAAATTAGGCCATATAAACAAGTTTTGTTTTTGTTTTTTTGCATAAAATTTTCTGTCAAAATGTGAACTTTTCGTGTCATTTTTGGTCACAAATGACAATATTTTGACAAAATATTTTTCAAAATTCTATCTTTTCCTTGATTTTTCTCATTAAATTAGCGCATTTAGAGAACACTTTTGAATTTTTTTTTTATAAAAAAATTTGTCATTTTTGGTCACAAACCAAAAAATTTTGTTTAAAATTGTTGTAAAATTAATTTTCAAAAATTTTGAAAAATCATCATGATCTGACCAAAAACCATATGCTCAAAAAAATTACGAATTTTGTTTTTTTCTGAACAAAATATGAAAATGCTCTAATACTCTAAACATGCAGAAAACGTTACACTTGAAACAAAATTGGCAATAATGTAAATCATAATTTTTCAACATTTGTCCAACATGATGATATACTAAATTCAATTCTAAATTCTAAAAAATTCTGAAGTTCAGGCTTTTGTGAAAACCACTTAAACATCAACTAACCCAATACATAACTAAAGCCGTAATGAGCGTCTGCGTTTTATGACCAGCAGATGGCAATAATGTATCAAAAACACTGCTTCAAAGTTTTTTATGTCGTGTGAGAGTAATTTCAAGAAAAAACTGACACATTTTTTGTAGATAATAAGGAAGATGGATTAGGAAACAAGTGGTTAAGAAGAAGGATTTGGAAGCGTGTGTGGTATCACATACTCATCACTTCCTCAGAATTCAGTAAAACATTAGAATCCTGTGAATCAAAGTAATAGTGGAGTGCTGGTGCAAGACATTTTAAGCACTTCAGTTATTCTCTAGAGCAGCAATCCTAGGGTGACCACCTCTAAACAGAGAAGAATGTGGGACAAGTCACAATCATTTAAAACCAACCATATTTTTTACCAAGTAACATGCACGTATCTCACCTTTTAACTCACAAAACAAACAAAAGCTCTATAGTACCCAAGACATAAAATCTAAAAAGCACACATTTTTCAAGGTGACATACTGTAATTATTGATGAGCTATCTTAATTCTTACACATTTGACATAAAATGAGCAGTTAAGGCACAACAAAATATTACCTGATGTCAAATTCAACAATTTCAATGCCAACAGGTCTCTGTAAAACCAACAACTCCAACAACACCAACAGATTTTGCATCACAATCCAGCAAGTGGCAGACCAACACCCTTTCTCGGCAGTAGGAATAGCAAGTTTCTGAAACATATTGGTTGCAGAAAAACAACCAAACGTTAAAACCTAGACTACAACAAGATTCACTCGCCATGAATATATATTATGCATTGTTGTAGAACTCTACACAGCTATGTGCAAATGGGCTCTTGACCTGAATCTCTCTTGAGATTTGATGCAGTTGGTTAACCGATATAAATGCGTATATTGCGCTGCATGGTAAACACTGGTAACTTCTACTGCAGTAATTTTATCCAACTCAGTGTCATTTAGTTAGCAGAAAAAATACTACTTACTTTTGGTTGATTGTTGTTGTGTCCTTCCTGTGAGAGCCAGGTGCACCGCGTCGTTTCCCATCAGATCCACTGCCATGCCCGTCAGAAGAGCCGATTTACACCGATTGCAGAATGCTGGTTCAGAATCTCCATCCACCGGTCTCAGCCAAAAGGTGGCGTCTTCTTGTTGTGGCACACTGCACATGGACGCCTTTACAGTATCAAAATAACGACGCGCTCTACGATTTTAGACACTAAAGTGTGTGTGATTGCTGCGAATCAGCAATTTGTTTGACACACCACGGTCAGCCTACCAGCTACCGCCTTACGCATGAAGTGGGCCATCGTCGCTATCGACTGCACCGATAGGCGCGCTAATAGACAGCCAGGCACATAAAATAGTTTATTTTCAATTAAGTAAGTAAGCTGTGCAATAAAACGTAAAGCGGGAGAGAGAGGTGGTCACTTTAATTACCGGCCGCAGCAAACCTTTAAAGAAGGTAGCGGATGTAGGTAAGACGTGGCCGCGGCAGGCATCTGACATGTGTGAAGTGTGAGTCATAGACAAATGCGGCGGAGAGAATCCGGTAATTCTTCAAAATAAAACATCGTTCAGCATCAGATAATACATAAAAGATATAAGAAATAATGTAAGTTCTTGCTGGGCCTGAAAAAAGGGACAAAGCCGAAAGAAAAAGAAGATGCATTCTTTCTGGGGGGCCCGGCACGATTGCTGCAATACCATCTGTTGCCAGTAGTCGGACCATGAGCCTGACCTCCGCTGTTTTAGTAGGAAAAGGAGTCGATTTTTGACTTTAACTGGCTGAGATTGAATGATCCATTTTCAAACAGCTGTGTGTCTGGGTCATGAGCTGCTCACCTTTTCACAACAACGGGCCTGGCCCAACTGACAGAGGTCTCCTCAACCCCTGGGATCCACAGGTATGTGCCAATCACACGTGCACTTGTGTGATAAAAAGTCAAGTCAATTTTATTTGTGTTAAATATTCTGCCTAAATGGACAGTTTTTACATTAAATTATTATTAAGATTATTATCAGATGATGAATAGGAAACTATGTCCTGGTCAGTATTGGAATATTGGCAAATTGGCAAAAAGGTCCATTTCGAGCACCACTAGAGTGAATAATATTGAGCTAATATATATAAAAATACAAAGTAGAGCACATTAAAGTTTTACAAATATTGTTTAAAAAACAAAATAAGATCACAGCATTTTGACAAAAAAATAAATTCTCTGCAGAGCTGCACTAGGGTTCCTGCAGTCACCACATGAAACAGCAGCAGCAAACACAGTCTCAGTGCAGAAAATACTTTTCCATCATAAACTGTAAGACTATAGAGCAGACTGGAATATGCTGCCCCCAGTGTCAGGATCGTTGAAATAATTGGTGCAAAGCCCAGACGCAGTGTTCAGTGTGAGCTGTGGTCAGTAGCTGTGCCGGACAGTAGGAGGAGTTTTTTTTTTTATTATTGTTAATAGCTTTCCACTCCAATCATATGAGCTCTCTGGACAGTCTCACACACTGTTTTGCTCCACGTCATCTGGGTTCTTTAAACCTCCTGACAGAATGACGCCTTTCTTCTCCTGAATTCGCACTAAAACTCAGGCTTGTGGGCTTGAAACCGAATAATCCATTCTCTCACACTCACACCGTGTCATGTGATGACATATGTGACACCCTATTGGTGTAAGTGGAGGGAGAAAATCACATGTAGACATTGTAGCTCTTTTCATATTTTCTGCTATTTTGAGACAACGTGTTGCGCGGTCAGTGGAAACTTTTGCTAAGCTAATGAGAAATAACGGTTGCGGTCACGGGGGAACACTTGTCAAGGTAGCTAAGAGCGGATTAGAGCCATGTTTCTTGGCTCATTGTTTTCACGCTGCACAGACTGTCTTGTTTATTTTTTTCACAAGATAGAACATGGAAACAGACTTTTAAGTAAAATGATACGCATACTTTCATTTACTGTTCTTCACCGAGATTTAACAAGGTCATAAACCTAACTTTAGTTTATTAAACCAAACCTAAACTGATTGTTTTTTTATATCAACTCTCTTATTTATGTTCATTACTACAGACAAACTGAACACAAAGTCCTCATTCTCATCCTGCGTCTGATGAATGTGGCTGCATGTACCAATAGTCAACTCAGAAAACGGTCTTTCGCTCTAACACTCCATCTGGTGCCTCCACTCGTCCACAAAAAGCGGCCATCTGCCCAAGACACATTTACTGGCACAAAGGACAAAATCAGTTGCAACTTTGACCACATGGTCTGTAACTTGCCATAAGGAGCAACTTGACTAAAACTAATTGGCACAGAAGAAGGAGTATGTCTTTCTGTGCCTTTACTATTTCCACCAGTTGGTCCCGTGACCGCAACAAAAATCCTCCAAATCGACATTTTTCTCTTATCTCTTTTTGTGATAAAACGCTTTTTAGGGTAGTTTAAGCAAATATCAGCGTGCCTGTCAACAATGTTTGAAGAAACCAAGGCCACACAGAGGGAGAGCAGTGGAGTGTTTTGTTGATGCTTTGTTAGATAGACAGCATAGCCAAAGCAAAAGCCTGTGTTGTTAGGCATTTGTCCCACCTTTTGCACCTCTCTCATCTTGAGCCATTGTCACAGAGCCTTTAACTGACATGCTGTTATTCCTGCATGAATCCACAAACACAATGGGGCTGAAGGGTTGTTTTTGTCTGACAGGAGATATGACCACAGGTCTGGACAAAGGCTTTCAACAATCCACATCATCTCTACCTGATGTACCACCAAGAAAATTAAACATATCTGACAGGATCATCTTAAATACTCCAAAGTACATGTGAAAGCAAACAGCCACGTTCATGTAAAAAGGTAGAATTTTTTTTTGTGGCAGTGCATTGATGTTGATTTTCTTTTTTTTTTGTTTGCGTTTTTGCATTTTTGTGCCAGGTACTAATTTTGTGTAAACACACACACATGCAGAAGAATGTTGCAGTAATGTTTGATCTCAGTATGCACATTGACTCTGTCTACACAGGATGCTCATTAGAGCGAGGGGTGGAATTTTTCTTCCATCTGATTTATATCAGGTGCAAGACCACAGTTGGGTTATTTGGCTGATAGAAGCACTTTTATTACAGAGCTGGGGCCGTGGTGGAAATGATAGGTCTGCTGCTGCCAAATCTATAAACTGGAGTTTGGTCCCTCTGCTGTCTGCAACTGATTCTGCGGGAGTGTTTGTTTAGATTCATCCCTTGATGGGAGCTTCACCTGGATTTAGTTACAATAAGAATTATCTTGCCAGTGACAAACTAATGAATGAAAAAAGTGGAGTGAAGGAGCAATTGTTAATATCGCTCATATGTGCTGAGAAAATATTCAAACAGTGGAAAACAGCAGAAATAAATTGGTTAAAAATCTGGCTTTAAGGAAAGGAAAGTGAACTACTTGTCATTGTGACACAGCACACCCCTGCATTTTAAGTTCTGCTTTTAACTCATCACCTAAGTGACCAGGGGGCAGCTTTAAGCGCAAAAAAAAACTTTTCGAACATGTGTCCAGTAGCAAGGGTAAGTAATAAAAGCTCATTTAAATGATTGTTTAAATTACTTGTGTCTTTGCCAGCTTTACATTTTGGGGCTTTCAGTACCACTATTGGCCACCAGGGTTTGTTTAAAAGCCCTGGTTTTAGTGTCAATAACTTAAAAATAAAATCATTTAGAAGTAGTACATAAAGCAACAATAAAGGAGCAACATCATACTTCAGCAGATCCAAATAAATTGTACATACTACTGTATAAAGTGTGTATCAAGTCCACTAAAAAGTTACTTCTTAAACTCCTGAGGCATTAATAAAGAGCTATCTATATATCTATCTTAACAGCTTTTTGTTATGATTACATAATGAAATATATTTGTGCACAGATTCTTCAATACAGCATAGATTTACAAAATATAGAGATGGAGTAAAATTAGTTAAGCAGTGCAAAAGAGATTTAAGGTGTTAAATCATTTAACAAAAAAAAATGAGCAAATGAACAAGTACCTGAAATAAATACAAAACTGAAAATCGCAAATATTTAGCAAAGATATTCAGTACTGATAAGTATATAGCTTCAAAGTAGCCTCCCACTCCGATGACACCTTGATTACCACAACTTGTCGTGTGAGGGAAATCACGTGTACACTAGCGCCGTTGCACTCCCTTTTCACAGACCCCGTCTATTACCAAGTCGGATTAGATTCAGCCCGATGTTGACGACTGCTGAGCTGTTATGGGATCCAGACATCCAGTGTGTGTGAGGTCTGGAAACCATTCTGCCGCCATTAAAAGTCAGGGCAGCTTGATTCCTCAGCAAATTTGTGAAACTGATTTAGTGCAGTGTAGACAGCCACACACTGTGCATTAAACCTATATTATACACTGGGTCACAACCTTCGCTCTCTATAAGTTTACGCTAGAGACATTATTTTTAAAAATAGAAGTTACTCACTAGAGGCTTTAGTTGGGTTTCAGTGTGAGTTTTTGTTTTAAAGCTAGTGCTAAGGATTATTATACTTTTAAAAAAATGCTATAAAACCCAGTGGGTGTGGGTGTGGACTCAGAGGTTCACTTGAATTTTTGTTTTACTAACTCACCATTTTGTGTGTTTTACATTATGGGAGGAGTGAGGTCATGTTAACTAATTGGCTAAAAAAAATGCAATTTTTAAAAAAATGCAAATTTTTTATTTAAAGTTACTTTTTTCTGTTTAACTAACACAGTTTTTTGTTGCTTTACATTACAAAAGAAGTGAGGTCACATTGCTAAATTGGCAAAGTTCAAAATTCTAATGTAAAGCTATTGCTCGGGTTTATGGATTTTCTTAAGCTGTAAAACACATAGAAGATGTTATTTATTCTCTTTTCATCTAAATTCACAGTTTTATATATTGTACATTACAGCAGAAGGATTGAGGTCACGCTGCTAAATTGGCTCAAAGAATGCTAATTGGTGATAATGGTGCCTGTACTTTCAGAGAGTACAGGATGAAAAAGACCACTGTGCTGACCCTTGATTCTCTGATATGTTTCCCTCCAGACTTGGCAAGAAGAGAACTGTATTAGGACTGATCTGACACGGGTATAAATACCTTCCGTGGGTAATTGACCCTTTTCCTGAACACACACACCCACACACACATCAAAAGGGAATATCCTCCAGACTCCAAGAGCCACTGATTAGACACATTTAAAAAGTATTTCCCTTCTGGTATGGAAGATCTGGCACAGGCACCAAACAAGCGTTCCATTACACTCCTTTAGGGTACTGCACTGTATATGATGTACACAGTGTGACCTGTGTGTGGGAAAGGAGCATACCTGAGTAAGTTTCTATTTTTATGTGCATCTTTAGTTGTTATGGGGAAGTGAGACAGTGGATTCACAGGCGAGTCTCGGCCTTTCTTAAGGAAGACAAATAACGTTCGGCTTTGCAACCAAATCCCAACCGGCTGGGCTGAAATCTCAGCCATGTAAATACAGCCAGGCAGCAGTATTGGAGCGCTGCCTGACAAAAGATGACATTGGCTTGTAAGTTTTGGGCGATGACGCTGAGGGGGTTTCCATTATGTGGCTGTCACACAGCATTAGGCCAGAGAGCAAACACTTTCATGTGCGGATTAGCATTCAGCCATTAGAGATAACAGATATTTGACTGAGCTAATCCATTCCTCCATTGATTTCCTTCCCCTTTAATAACTTCTTGCTAGCAAGCAAATTTTCATAAGTACAGGAATGCTGACATGTAAGCAGTGGCAACAATGGGCCGTGTTTGACACAGATAAGCCGCTTTAATGATGCTTCCACAGAGGAGAGAGAGCCAAAGATTTTAAACAACTTCATTTAGTAGAAACAAGGTAAACACACAGTATGGATGTATGTACAGAATTAATACTCAGAGGATAAAAATATTAGACAGAAGAGACAAGCCTGTACTTGTCCCTTCTGTCTAATACATTTGTGTTTTATGTCATCTTCACCCACCAGTCTTGTTAATTGAATGGTGAAAGAATGGTGTGGTTTTACATATAATTTGTCTTATTGTCTGGTTATAAATGATAAACAGGGGAAAGTTACATCACAGCTACAAGAGAAACAGTTTAGTTTCTGTACAGTCATTCAACATTTTCACTGCAAAGTCTCTAATAGTAACTATTCCTCCTTCATTCGTAAAAGAGACATAAGACATTTAAATCTGGGCATTGATAAATGTTTAAAAAATCCTGGACATAAGACATCCTTTATACCTTATATTACAATATCATAATGGAGTATAATTTTAATAAAAATTTTAACAACTAAAACATCTGTCAAACTCCTCCACTAGCTTTTATTTCTGTATCTTTGTCCATCGTTGAGCATTAGTTTTGCAGCTCTCTGACAGCAAATATCACTTTTTTAACCAAACTTGGATGGAAACATGTATAAATTATCAAAGTTTGTTACAGATTCACTAAAATGAAAAACACATTTGAAATGATCTTGGTTTTAGCCCTGGCAAAGAAGCAGATTGTGTTGAAAAACATCCTCCAGAATTCCACCAACAAGAACGTCTCTAATAATAACAGTAACAAAGTCTTTAAACCGGGGAAAATGGAGAGATTTGGCTTTGGTATTTTTATTTTTTTGTATTTTTGTTTTTCACTGACCCACACTGTGTTCCAGGGACATTTCAATTTTTCTTGTCCTGGGTTTCGGAACTGGTGAAGGGTCTTTGTTCACAGCACCTGTGCTCACCTCCAGTGGCTTGTTACCAATGGAAGATTCAGGAGGACAGACATTCTGGTAACAGGTTTTCGGTAAGGGACTGGGGGAAGGAGGAAGAGAGGTCTCAGTGGGGTTCATGGTCTCATAGTCTACACTGGTGGAAACTGACACTCGCTTGCTCAAAGACAACATCTTGACTCGGTGTCCTTCCTTGGACTGTGGGGACATTTTTTTGTATCTGAAGCAGCAACATACGGTGATGACGAGGATGAGCAGAAGCAGAATCAGACCCAGTCCTCCTGCCAACACTGCCACAACGGCGGTGCGTTTGAAACAAAGCAGAGAAGAGTCAGGGGACGTCAGCGGTTTGTTACAAACTGGACGAACGGTGTCACTTCTGACCTTGCTGACTCTGTTCGCCACACCACACGAGAAGTTCCTCTGGCCTGTCAGCTGTGCCAGGGATACGCTCAACATTTGTCTTGTTTCACTTGTCAGTGTCTTTTCATCCAGAGTCCAGGAGAATGTCAACCCCTGAGGTTTGGCCACAAAGCAGTTGAGTTTCACCGCATTGGACTTGATATCACACACGTAAGTCAGCTCGGGTTTCAAGACCTTGTCCATCACACAGAGACGTCCACTCCAGGTTAGGTCCAAAGTGCCGTTCAGATGCCGCAAATCGGCCCGATAATCCCCTGCATGTGAAAACTGTATGTTCTTCAGCTGCAGAGCCCCTGCTGCAGAGATGTCCTCTTTCTTCCCCACGGACACTCTTCCGTTCTGTCTGTAAAATATGATGGTCTTGTTGTGAGTCCATCGCAGCACGTGCGTGTTCGTCAGGCCGACAAAGGCAAAAGGGAGCGTGAGACTCTGTCCTACTGCCTCATAGATGTCACAAGTGTCCTTGGCTACAGAGAGATTTACAAGTCTCCAAAGTAGCACGAGTCCAAGTGTAGCCACAAAACAAGGCATGGTGGATGGAGGAGTGACCGCAGAGAGCTGTCAGTGGTTGAATCAGATGTAGGAACAGAATTATCTTTAATCTGCACAGAATTAAATCTACGCTGCGTTACATCCACACAGATTGAGAGGCCGTCCTGTCAAGAAGAGACGTCTGAGTGGACACTCACAAACCAACACACTCAGTACAAGAGCGCAGCTTCAGTAGGAAGGAAACTCGCTTTATCAAGAGTCTACTTTCATTTCCCCAAAAAAGAAGTTTGATCATGTGTATGTCTGTCATCTTGCCATGACGTGTTGTACTCAGAGGACTATGGTTGAACTGGTTGCAACATGACTGGTTCGAAACGCTGAACTTTTGCTTCACTGCTGTTATTGGAAACTCTGGTTCCATTTTGCAAAGCTCAGGTTGAGTCATGTGTTGTGAAATGTGCCTTGCATATATTCAGTTTTCCATCGCTCACAACCTTTCTGCAACATCTGATGTTGCATTACTAATTATAATATTATTATTACTATTTGTGGTATACTTTTTTAAATGTACAAATACAGAACTAGGAGCATACACTTCTATAAAAAGCTGGAATAAATAAAAAGTCATGCAATAAAAACACTGAATCAATTTATCTTAATGAGCGGTCGCCACAGACGGAGTCGGTATAGAGATCGGGCACATTTTCTTATTTTCACACCAGATTACCCTCAAGCNCATGTTGACCCATTCACAGCTGTTAATGAAAACTGAACTGAGCTTTCTTTAAACATTGTAAATCCACCAAATGGATGCTGTCACTGAAAAAAAGGAACTAAAATTACAAACCAGTCAATGTTTACCACTGTGGCTGCATATAATAAATTAAAAAATGTAATTAATTTAACCTGCTGTGACCCCTCCACCAAGGAGTGGGGGGGTTCAATAAGTCCCAACTGTTATGTTTGGTCTATTAAATTGATCAAAACTATTTTTGATTGTTTGATTGAAACATTACATGTACAGTAGTAACTGAATCAGTGTCGGCAAAGTAACAGTAAATGCTACATTATCTGTGTGACTTTGAACTTCTAATTGGCCGTTTAGTGTCTTGAAAAGTAATCTGCTCATAAATCTGTTACACTAACCAGCCATAGCTCCAGTAGAAGCCCTTGTTCTAATGGCTGTTGAACAGATGTGTTTATTATAAACAGCATCAGAAGTTTATCTGTCAGATAGCCTTTTAATGAAAACATGGAAGAACAAAAATCTTCTGAGGTGATGTCAGGATTCTGGCTCTCCCGTCTTCCCTACATTCCTCCCACTCTCCTCCTTTCCTTCCTCCCTTGTGGGTAGCATGTGTGTGTGTTTGGGTCAGGGTTTTAAATGTGGGCATGGTCAACCTAGGTATGCCTGGCTGCGTACCTGAAGCACATTTCCAAAACATTCTAACTGTGAAATGCTAAACCTCAACACTCAGTTTCCACCTGTCTGTGAGTTTAACCAATTATATTTCTGTTGTAACCAAGGCTTCTTTCTTTCTTGTTGTTTTTTCCCTCCAGTTTTAAAGATGTTTTTCTCCACCAACCACACTCTCCTGTGTCTTCAGGATTAAAGCCAAGGTTGTTTTCTAACTTCTGCCAAACCGAGTCGGTCTACGTCACACGTACGTCTTCTAACCATCATTAAACACAGAGCTGAAAGACACTTTTTAATGAGTAGGTTTTTTACAAAATGTCAAGTTGCCTTAGGTTTCCCTTGTACAGTATGTTGTTGGTCATCTTGTGATGTAAAATAAACTTTTTCAAAAACCTTAGTTGAACTGCTGTTAAATGTTTTCCAGTAATTCTATCAGCACAGAGCTAACATTTTTCTACAACTACACACAGCCTGCAAAACCACTAGTGTCAACTCAACAATGAGTTTATGTTTGCATCTCACACCTACACTTTCATGCAATTAGTAGTGATTCACACTCCATATGTGACTGAAAAAAAAAAAAAAAAACGCCCAACAAGAAAAACACCTGTTTTCTCAGTCTCACCATCATTAAACGTTTTCCTTCCCGGAGGGAAACGCTCAGTGTAAATGTTAGTAATTCAGGGAGGGACAGAGCGATGGGGAGGGGAGAGGTGTTGTCCTGAGCGCTGAGTGCAAATCACAGTTCCCAGTTCTTTATAACCTTGTAAAGATTATATATCATAAAAACACCCACTGTGTCTACAACAAGAACACTGTCATGTCTGTCTGTTTCCGTGTTTTCCTGTGTTCTTTGTGGGGTAATCATGGGATCACACTCACCTGTTTGGTTAATTAGCTTCACTTGTGTCACCTGGTGTTCCCTGTGTATATATACCCTTCTCCCTCACTCTGTCTTGGTTTGATCATTGTGATTGTGGTGGTGTGTGTTTGATCATTGTTACTGTGTTAGATCTTCGTGTTCGTGAGTTTCCTACTCTGTGTTTCCTCGTGTTTCCGTGTTTTCCTTGTGTTCCTCGAGAATTCCATGCCTGTTAGTTCTTCGTGTTTTGTTAATTTGGACTTTGTTAATAAACTTCCTGCACCGGAAAGAGTCTTTCCAGTACTGCATTTGGGTCCTGCCTGCTCCCTGCGATGCTCGCACCTGACAAACACATGCTGTGGCGAGTTTAAATCATCAAGTGCATCAAGGGTGGGTTTAAATAACGTGAGAAGACTTTTTTCAGCCGACATGGGCCACAGATAAAAACATTTTCTCTGACTCTCTGACTTGACAAAGAGCTAGCGTAACATGACAAAGTTATATACAAGAAAATCTACTCTGGTTTAGTAACAGTCTTAAGGTGTGCTTATTTTCAAATGAAGTCTAGTTAAGGTTTTTTCTATATGACAAGGTTAGGAGAATTATTGTTGCCTTTTTAAATGTGCTCAGAGTGGCACAAGAAGTACATTACAGTACAAATATACATTGTGATATAAATATAACTATATAACATTGATCCTTAAAAAAGATCTCTGTGCTAAATATTGTAGCACTGTCACTATACTATAGGTCATTGTCATTTCAGTGCCAAAGGAGAAAAAAAACTGACCTTTACAATTCCGTTGTTTTCAGACTATTTCCAAATACTTAACACGTATGTAAATGTTGGCAAAGAGGAACTGAGGTAAAGTGTCACAAAGTGACACAAGGACACTAACTGCCTATATGCTGTGACACAACGAGAAGTTGTGACAGAATATATATATATATATATATGTATATATATATGTATATGCAGGAGGTTCTAAAAATACACTTTAAAACCCAAGCTGTGTGTGAGGAGTCAGCTGCTTCAACAATGTTTTATATCATTCATGGTCAAACTAACACAACAAGTAATACATTTGGCTGCACTGACCTTTGATTGTTCTCTCAGTATGGAAGTTTCACATCCCCTGTTATGTTAGCTTATTTTAGCTTAGCTTAGCTGGGCTAACTCAGCCTTGGCTTCCCATTTCCTGACCAAATTCTCATTTCTCCTTTAGATTTTAACAACAGCCGGCCGTCTTTCATTACTGCCATCCGCTCTATTATTGTTACAGTTTCAGGGAATTGTATCTGAGCATTCACAAGAGCAAAAAACATAGAGTAGAGGACAACATCCACGCTTTTGTAGATATTTGACCAATGGAAACAACAGAATGAAATAATATTGTTTATAAATAACAGTATTATAAAGTAGTAGTATTAGTAGTATTGTAAACTCATCGTACTAAAGTAGTAGCTTCATGGAAACAAATGTATCAAATTAATGATATACATATATTTATTTGTTAATGTGGTGTCCTTTGTTAAATCAACACCAATTATTTCCCTGTTCCTCTCTTCTGTTACACACTCCCTTAATTGGCTACAAAGTAAACTTGAATAGATTGGACGTGGGTTAATTGGCCGTGGGCCCAGGTCGTCCGAGCGTTGAGAGTGTTGAAGCGGAGAGCCCATCTGCTGAGCTGATGTTTAATTCAGGGGCCCAGATGGAAGTGTGACAGTCTGGCTGTGATTCCTAGTCTCACACTTTCAACAGACATGGCTGTGACTCTGGACACCCCGGGGGGGTTGGGGGAGGAGGGGTGAGGTGGGTGTAGCTGCCCCCTCCTGTTGTTTTAGGTAGATGTCATGCA